TTCAAGCAGCCGGCCGGCGGCTCGATCATATACATCTATCTACTACTCTCTACATCTTGTCCAGTTGTACCTACACATGTTAGCTGACCCTAACCCCATATATATATATAGTTTATAGTACCGGTATATATAGGCTCCGTTCGATTTGCTGAATCTTGATTGAAACTAACGGAAAAACAGTTCCGGCTGAATTGTTATGAGAGAAAACACTGTTTCGTCTTAAAAAACAAGTCGAACAAGTTGAATATGGGGTAAACCGAACGAGACCTTACGACTTACGAGAGTTGTTATTATTTTCTTTTATGTATCCTGAACCCCCTCCCAACTGCTCCCTTTTATCTCTCTTTGTAATGTATTTTTTTCTTAACTTGTCCTTAATAAAATACTAGTAGGGGTACGCCTCTCCTATTTAACGTCCAAAAAAAAAGAGTTGTTATTATATTCGTTAGCAGCCTCCTGATGATGGTCAATTTATTTGGACTTATCAATCTCAGCTTTCGATTTTTTCTAGAAAAATAAATAAAAAAATCTCAACTTGCTAAGATTCTTTTAGCAACGAACGATCTCTCTCAGAGAACCGAAGGAAATATGTGTGCATATATACTGACTACTCTTTTCATCCCAAAATATAGGCATTTTTATTTAATTTGTTCAATCAAATTAGTCTAAATTTGATCATGTTTATAGAAAAAAGACATCAACATTTATGATACCGAGAGCCTGTTTGGCAGGGCTCCTCGAGAAAAAGCCCCATCAAATATTCTGTAGGAGGAGCTATTTTCCAGTGAAAAACAGAGGAGTCCTGCCAAGCACCCACCCTACGAATGAGAAACATTAATTCCGTTGTGACATATTTTGATATTTTACTTCTTTGACCACGCATGTTTACGGTTATTCTCTTTGTGTGCACTGTTTTTGTCATGGCTGCGAAGAAATGCGAATACTTGACTACCACCTACTACTGCGTACTAGTAGCAAACTTGACGTTCACCAACCAGCAAGCTTAAAAATTCAAAGTTCAAACAACAGAAGATAAAAATAAAATAAACGCATGAGGTGTGACCAGGGAGGGGCTGCTATTTGTGCCAAACCAAGCTGAAACGAGAGGCTGCTACTTTTCGGTGACCGTCCGCACAAGACAAATATATGCAAAAAGTCGCATGCATGACTGGAGCTAGGCGTTTCTGCATTCAGATTTCGTTTGCAAAAGTGGAAATTGTGTCTAGACGTCTAGTCACATGGGTTGAAGTGGAATTAAACTAAATTCTATTATTTTCTACTCCAACGCACGCGGACTGAGGTGGATACACATACATCCAAACAAGGCCTTATATGGCACAATCTATTGGAATATTCAGAAGTTCAGAGTTGCTTTGCGGCTCTGTCTGTTGTATGCAAACAACTGGCTTGGTCTGAATTCTGATCCACACTGGCTTGGGTCCTCTATTCAGATAATCACATGACTGAATGTATGAGGGGCAGCCTAGCTTATGTTGCTCTGTCTGACTGACTGTTGTCCACAAGCAACTGACGCAAACAACTAGTCTGAATCTAATACACACTGACTTGACTACTCAAGTCCACATGTAACCTGGATGGAGTACTCCATTTGCAACTAGGAGATACCCTGTGCGTTGTGTCGGGAATTACTGAAATAAACTGTAAATTGACGAGTGAAGATGCTCCGCAGATATTCTTGCCTATGAGATAGAAGAATCTGAATATGCAGACTTGAAAGCTGTTCCGGATGATATGTCCTTTTTACTAAGTAACAGATAATCATAAAAAGCACGTCTAGACGTCTAGTCATATTATATACTGAAGAAATTCTTATACTCATTTACTCCTTGCTAATATACAGCTTAGCTAGATTGATTGCTTACCGTACACTGACTGATTATAGCAATTTGAAAGTTTTTTTTTTCCGAATACGCAGGAGAGCTGCGTATCATTGTATTAATAGAAGAAAAAGGAGTCATACAGAGACCCAAACACACCCACACCCACAAACACAACACCAACACACCTCCACTTACTGACTGGAACTAATCACCTATGCTTGAGAAGAAAACCATGACCAGAGACCCTCTAAACATCAAGAGCTGTGTATCGGGGACAGTCCCCTAGCACCAGCCAAAGACCAAAGGAGGGCTTCCTCCCTAGCAAGGTTCAAAGCTGTAGATAATCTAGGGGTAGCTCCGTTGAAGACACAATCGTTTCGATGTTTCCAGATGGTCCAGCTCCTAGGATAATGAGGGAATTCAGTCCTTTTCAAGCATCTTCGCTTCTTGTCAAGACCGCCTTGTCCCACCAATCATCAAAGGAGGAAACATCCGATCAAGGGCTAGTGCTGCCAATCCGATGCTATGTAGGATGTCATACCAGTAATTGTCTTGCAAACACACACCCAATGAAAAGGTGCTTGGATGTTCTCTTCTTCTTGATCACATAGCGCATAATGGTCCGGATGAGGAAGACCTCTTCGAGCCAACTGTCGTCACCTGTCCAAAGAAATGATTGTGAGCAACCAGCCACATGAAGAAACGACACTTAGGGGCGCCCAAGATTTCCAGATGCGCTCAAATGGGGCGAAACCGAGGGCTCCCTCAAAAAGTGCACCATAGGCTGATTTAGTCAGATATTTACCTCGAGGCGGACAGCCTCCAAATATGCCTATCGAGGATCCCCTCTTGTACACTTATATCCTCTAGCATATCCCATAGCTCAAGATATTCCATTAAAGCTTGCACAGTATTTCCCTTGGATATCTTCTCTCCATTTCATTTCATCTCATCAAGAGCAGTCTTCACAAAGGTGTGTTTGCGTGCCTTCCTTTTGGTACTAGAACATACAGATTGGGTGCAAGATCCTGAATGCTCTTACCAACAACCATTTATCCTTCCAAAAAGGGTATTGGCACCATCACCAATTTCAGTAATAATGGCTGTGGAGAGGAGGCATTCAGCATCCTTGTCGACTTGCAAGGCAAACTTGCCGGTGATTTATTAGGTTCAGACTTTTTGAGCCATGGCCATCTTACTCTTAGTGCAATACATAGAGATTTCAGATCAGAAATCCCAAGCCCACCTAGCTCCTTTGCTCGACAAACCTTGGGTCACGCTGATGAGACAATGTCCACCTTTTGCTTCCTTGCGTCCTCTCCACACGAACCCTCTTCTGATTTTATCAATGGCCTTAATTGCCCAGGGAGGTAGATCTATAGCCATGGCTAGATAGATCAGCATGGCAGTCCAAAAGAATATATTTGTTGCAACTTCTGAAATGCACAGGCCTAAAATCGAATGTATGGTTGTTACTTTTATATAAAATCGAAGTTTGAAACAGTCTACTAGGATGGTCCAGTCACAACTGTAAGACCTCCTAGGACACTCATTAGAAGCGTGTCGTATGTATGGTTTAAACTCTCATTCTTAATTACAATGATACGCAAATCTTTTGCGTATTCGAGAAAAAAAAGAAAAAAAAAACGTAGGGCAATTGATGGAGGGCCTCTGGAAAAAGGTCAGACTTGAGCTTGGGGATACATTCCCCTACACGGCTTGTACATCGGTGGTGTATCTTAGAGAGTGATCTTCCTGTAAAAAAAGTATTAACCTCATTGATTTGGAATTCTGTCTCACTTTGACTTTGGCAGTTTGGCTATGCTGGAATTAGGTGCTACTCAGTGGCACATATATCATCGCAGGGATGGATGGGCGATGGAAGGGAAGGATTGGGATTTCAACGGATCAAACATGAACTGTGATTCTGTGAACACTGGGTGAACCTTCAGCAAATTGATAAGGGCGGGGCAGAGGGGGGCTTGCCTTATGGATTGATAGACTAGTGTTATGTAGGGTGCCTATATGATTTACTTTTAGTCAAAATCACTGTTTTTCAGTTTTTTGGGGTGCATTTGCAACCCCCTAATTACACTACGCCTTCGCCCCTGACCATGACAGACTGTTTCCATTGTGTGGGGAGGAGGAAGGCCACATGACTTTTCAGATGGTTGCTTGGGAGTCGGCGCGAGAGGGTATGGAATACAAAGGGACGATGAATCTGAGAAGATGATCGGAGAATGAACAATCGCAACTGATGTGGCTTGCTGAGAATCCTGAGAAATAGTCATTAATGATACATAATGGGTTCCATCTATGCAAGATATATAGATATAAAGTACATGTTCTGACCATTTGTACATCATATACAGTGCATACTCTGACATTGTATGTCATTTGTACAAGAGGTAGACATACAGAAACTCATTCCAGACATCAGGCACACCAGGGAGGCACCAGTGCATGCAATCCGCATAACTGGCTGGGTTTGTGATCTGTTCTTTCGTTAGAGGGGCAAACTGTTTCCTAAACACTGTGGGGTGCCCGTCCTTACGGTAGTCAGACAACTCCGTGATGTTGAGTATCTGAATGTGTATCCCCTTCTCCTCCAGTGTCCCAAAATATGACTTAGCCTTCTCCATCATACTGTAATCTGTACTTGCTGCTTTGTATCAGACTTTGTAGATCGGCTCTGTCTCATTGAGACATTTGTTACTGTTTTCTCCACCCCAGTTGCTAGCCCTGAAATATAGGCATATTGTACACTTTAATGTTTCATGGAGATGGTGCTATATTGTGCCATTGTTTGTGTTGGCACAAGATGCAAGGGTAGTGTTCGCCTCTTACCATGAATGAGTAGGTGATGATCCAGCAAAAAATATTCTAGTCTTGTTCTTGTCAATATTCTCTCTGAGCCATTCAGTCAGTTTCTTGAGTGCTATCTCGAAACCATCTATCATTTCCACTTCGTCTAACCTTGCATCGCCACTCTCAAATGAACCATGCATGCCCATATCCTCATGTTCATTGCCTTAAAAACTAACATTTGCTTATATTTGATCAGTTCTCAACTATGTGAAATTGGCAATGTGTTAAGATGAGGTTTGCGTGACCTTGCATCACCTCACTTTGATATGAGTAGCGAGTAAAGGAATGAACTTACATGACCTTCATCCTCATGTCAGCTTTATGCTTCCTCCACCACACATAAGAATTGAAGATTATGATATCAGCATCCCTCCAAGCACTGGCATGCTTCTCAATTCTGTCTGCCCTTATGAACCGATACTCCACCCTGTGGACAATTGGGTCGTCGCTGTTGGACTCCAACAGCAGCGGTGACCAGTAGAAGTCTATGGTTGCATTGTATTCCTAAAATCTATAGATTAATAACGTTTTGCATCTGCTAATGGAAATTGTTGGTTTCTGTAAACTGCAGATTTATGAAGGAAAACATACCAATGCCTTGAAGGAAATGAGTGAGCCATTGAAGGTGCGCATCTTGTGCCTAGCATCAGGTACAGAGGCCTCCACCATGCACACCAGCGAAACCCATTGGTTCCTGTTGAGAGAGTCACCCACAAACACCAACCTCTTGTTCCTCAGCTTTTCAAGCAGCCTGATGGCATCGAATCTGTTTAGACCCAAATCCAGATGTTGTGTCATAAATAGCATGCACCCTGTACCTTTTATTTTCAGAACTTTGGACGTGCAATGTAATTTGGTCAATAACTGAATGTTATGTTGATTTGGTCCCCTTTTTTAGCCTTCTAGGCTTATAAAATAGAAGAAACAATAATATAAGGAGATGGAATTTTCTCCGATGTTGACCTTTCACTGTGAATTAGTACCCTCATGTGTTGGTTTCTGGTTGGCCTCCCAGCTATCCACCTCAATCAGATCAATTTTCTAGTCTTAACAATTACATTTTTCCTCTGCAGTACTATTCTCTGTTTTCTGTTTCACTCATGGAGTATGCAAATGTTTCTCTGCTTCCATAACAAAATTACTAACCTTTTAAAATTCAGAAGTCTGACACTGACGCAGTTTCTTGTTCTAGTACTGTACCTTCAGATTCGCTCAAAGTTTTGGGTTGACAAGAACAAAGTTGAGCTACAAATACTCCAACTCTACTAGGAAAGTTTATTATCATCATACCTTGGAAGGTCGCATCCGTGAGGCTGCCATCTCCACAGCTGGTACATGACATCCTTCCTGCCGTATTTGTCACAAGCAACCTCAGGGAAGATGAAGGCACACTTGAGCCCAGAGTACAAAGGACGGGACATGTTGTCGTAGACCCATCGTCCTGTGGACCAATTGCACTCCTTGGTAGCAGAGCCGTGCCGTCAAAATTCGAGGCCGTGTTCCAAACTCTAAAAGAGACTCTACTGGCCTTAAAAAAATAAAATAATATATGCATACATAGCAATGCGATAAATAAAAAATCATACTTATTTATTTTGTGATTGCATAATTTTTATTTGAACACAATATCATTCTCTTAGTGTTCTTTAAATCATTTAACATAATTGAAATAAAAAGACTTGTTTCCAGTCGTTGAGAGTAATTTGTGATCCTCGCAAAAAAGAGTAGTAATTTGTATTTTTTATCGGATGTGAGTGTGCACCATCGACCGTTTTGCGCAATACAACAGTTCTGCATCTACTTATAGCAACGAGTAATTATTCATTAACATAAAGAAATATTTGTATCGATAAATATAAGATAATTAGTCAATTAGATAATTACCTTCCACGAGTTCAGGTCTTTAGGAATCAGGAATTTACCCCCTGTGACCTACACCTGGGCGCTGGCCTCTAGACCTCCGCTATCCATCCGGCTTGCAACTTGCTTGATTACGGAGATGGAGAGAGATGGGAGAGTCGGGTAGACGGGTTGCTGTAGATGGATGCCATGCGCCGGCTTGCTTGATCATGAAGACGGGAGACACGGGGAAGCCAGGATGGGACTACGGGAGAGCTAGGGAGACAGATCGACGTAGATCGATTCCGGTAGCGCGATATAGGAAGCATCAGGAGTAATCCGAAAGTCAGCAGAGCTTAATGCGCCATAATTTTTGGGGCTTCTTGGAATTTCACGCCCGCCGGCACGGCCCTGCTTGGTAGCGTCTGGGAGCTCAGCTCTTGACTGGACCTGTGCCTCTTCCCCTCTTGGTTGTTTATGGTGCTCAGCTGCCACCTCGGCCTGCATTTCTTGGAGTTCATGCTTGACCGCCATTGGCGGTTGTACTTCGTGGCCTTGGTAGAACAAGAAGGTGATGAAGATGACAATGACGGAGAAGGCAACTAGGGAGTTGATGCTCCTCAGTACAACCTGAGAATTGAGAACCGTCATCTTGGGGGTGGATTCTGCTTTCCTTCTTCAGAAAACCATGGTGCAGTGCATGGCTCCCTCTTTTATTGTGCACCTCCTTACATTAACAATGGGAGCACTACTTCTGCACATGGGTAAGTGGTCCAGATTTGCTTGTAATTAAGCAATGACCTGAACAATAACCATGGGTTATCCATATGGAGGGAGGCAATGTCTGATTGTTTAGTATGTAAAGGTGAAACAGAAACCTCTACCATCACATGAATGTTTTTCTAATTAATTTAGTGTGAAAGGTATACATGCATCGGAAGGAATGCATCTTTTTTAATATGTTGGTACATAAAGTATAAAGTTTAGTTACAGATCATTTTACAAATCACCATATTCTAGCATGCATCAAACTGGTTTGGTTCTGAATCTTAGATAATGCCATGTTAGATGCCAAATAGTTGTCCAGTTCCAGCATATGGCTACATGAGTGACTCCAAAGACAAAGTACAGGGTTTGGTGCTGTTTGCTGTACTTGATTTTGCTATATATATATATATATATATATATATATATATATATATATATATATATATATATATATATATATATATATATATATATATATATATATATATATATATATATATATATCCCGTCAAAACCATTGGTGGTTTATTTCTCATGTAGGTGCATGGTCTTGCTTGGTTGCAGAGTTCCACCTGTATTAATTTGTTGGCAACATTTTATCGGATTTTGTTTCTTTATGGCAGGCAAATTAGCTCTCTGGAGAATAGATGACGAGGAGCAGCATTCAGAAAATCATTTGCATGCAATGATGGAGGTGGAGAGTGGTACAATTGTTACTGATCTTTATGTGGCTTATGAGACGAGTGAGCCTTCAATATGAGTGGATTCACACACACTAGCAAACAGCAATGGTTAACTTGGACGGATTATTGGTACCTCATAACTGTTAACCTAATGCTTGCTGCTCCACATGGTTCCCTACTTCCTGAAAGTCCAAGAAGAGTCAGTACAACTGCTATGGACATTTGCAAGACTGCATGTATGTTCTTGTGAGCTTGTCTGGGATATAGAGTCATGTGCAACAGAATAATCAAGTACGCTTCAGGTAGGTGCAGAGTGCAAAGGCAAGTAGTGGTTGAATGCTTTCCGTCAATGAAGAATGAACTCTCATAATGTTCACTGAATACATCTATCATCCTGGACTATAATGTTGTTCATTTTAGTTTTTTTACAGACATGGTGGCACTTGTTCCCCATATTCTCCGCATATACGTGCCGTTGCTAACTAAAGAGTGATCTCTCTCTCTCCCTCTCTCTCATGAATAAACGATACGTTTGCAATTCTACTCTGAGAAAAAAAGGGGGACTGGTATTCGCAAATAATCACAATTCAAGTGAGCACAAGCAATCTCTGAATTAGTTCTGGGTTTTTTCATAGATGGGCTGCTCGTCATATCCACAGATGTTGCTACTAGCCTAATTCGTGTGTAGCTGAGGCCCATTTAATGTTGGGCCGGTATTGGGCCTAGCCCGCCAAGTGATACAACTTGCACCCACCTAGCCCAAATTTTGACTGAAGTTTACATATATACAGGTTCGTCTTCACTTCATTTAATTACAAGTGTATATATACAGAGCCTTAAGTATCAACATGCAGGCAACCGCGCAAGGCAGTTGCTATCATGGAACTAATAGTATTGCAGGTACATCAGTCACCACTCACCACACTGCAACCACACCTTTGTCAAATCTGTTCACCGGGAGTGTTCGTCTGGCTGTAAAGCCGCCAGTGCTGATTTGTATGGCTGATTTTTTGAAAGAGAAAAATACTGTACCATGGCTTATAAGGCAGCGAATAAACTGCCTGATAAGACCAACCGAACACTCCCCCGCGCGGTTGTTGTAATATCTGAAGGCATAACGCGATCTATACATCCAACACTTTTGCATATTGACCGATCAAATTTGCTGCATTCATCTCCTTCCTTACTTTAGTCTGCAAAATGACAATATTAATACGATCCATCATAGCTAGAATGCAAGCATTTTGTAGGCGCAACAGTGTAACTCCAGTGGTAGTAATGTGAGATTTGTGTGGTCAGAGGTTAGAGCAGAAGATTCTTTTAGTTTGTAAATTGATTGGTTAAAAGAAAATGTTTTACATTAGTTAAGAGTATCACAGACCAGTTTAAAAGACTATGCAATAGATGACAAAATTTGAACCTTTATGGTTGTATTTCTCAAGGCTTTGTCCATCTCCTCGAACACATCCTTTATGGTGGGGCGCCCTACACTTGAACTCGCAACACAAAGGACTGCGATTTTCAGTATTAACACGAAATCTTCTATGATAACATCATCCCTAACTCGTGGATCTATGAATTCCTCCAGTGGCTTTTTCCCGCTCACTACATCCTTGGCCTTCAGATAAAAAAATAAAAACTTAATATTGTCAAATATTTAATAAAAATAGGAAATCTGTTGATAATACAAGGGATCATAATACTGCAAATGAACATAGCCGGGCCTTGCTCGGTAAACATGAAAAGAAGAAGAAGAAAAAAAACAGCTGCTGCTTCTGAAGTTGTAGAATCATTTCCACACGCTTGGCGTATATATCATCTGAGAAATAAAAGATCATATATATTTACCTTCTTCGTAAGTGAATCACGTGCAACAATGTCAAGTTCTATGACCTTCCTTCCTGACAGAAGCTGCAGAGCGACAACACCAAAACTGTATATGTCACTGGAACAAGTGAGCTTGGAGTGTGTGATGTACTCGGGATCCATGTACCCAATGGTTCCCCTCACATCTGTGAACACCTTGGTCTCCTCCATTTCTAGCATTTTTGCCAGCCCGAAATCAGCCAGCTTTGGCACCTGGTTCTCTGTCAGCAAGATGTTTGTGAGCTGCAACAATTCCAATAGCAAGAGCATGTTATGGTTCAGAATGAAGCAACCTCAGGTTGTTATGCCTGCAAATTTCAACTAGCATTATTCTCACCTTGATGTCTCTATGGACAATACATCCATCGGGGTGTGTGTGAAGAAACCTCAGGACAGAAGCACAATCCCTCAGGATCTTCACTCTTGTTTCCCATGGTAGCACAGAGTCACTTCCTGCATGCCAATCAAGAACATAACAGAACATTGTTGTATGAGTTTGTTTCAGAATGAACCGATCGAGAAGCGCTATATACTAGATGATAGCCTCAAATAAAATAAAGCTGAATATATACATTTCCTTACTGAGTAAGCTCTGGGCAAGGTTTCCATTGGCACAGTACTCATACACCAGGTACTGATCTCCCTCATCACAGTAGCCAAGAGGCACACCAGGTTGGGGTGCCTCACCTTGACAGCTGGTCCACCTCCCTCATGAAGGACCCTGACATCGCCGTCTTGTGAATGTGCTTGATTGCAACAAGCTGCCCACTGGGTAGCACCCCCTGGTACACCTGCCCTGCGCTACCTGAGCCGAGGTAGATCCTGCTGCTCGCATAGTTGATCGCTCTCTCGATCTCCTCCTTGGTGAATTTGTACAAGCCTGACCACTTGCTGTTCACCTCCCCTTTATGTACTCTGTAGTTGCCTTGTGATGATTTTAGTGATGATTCTGTAGTGGTTTCGTTTGCTTTCTTCTTGTTCCTCAGGTATTTGGTGATCGCGATGGCGATGCCGACTACTAGGAACGCAAAAACTATCAGGACTGCAAATGTGCTACCTGAAATATAATTTGTGAACACGTAATTGTAGAGTTAAGACTTTTTAGTGTTGATGAATGTTGATGAGGTGCGCAGCGTGGATGCATAAAACAAGGCCTTGGACTTACGTCTGACCTTGATGTATTCACCATCTGCAAGTTTAAGACAGATTTCATTAGATACAAAATAACTAAATAATCAAAATGTAATTTGAGAGGCCATGTTAAACTTCGCCTATAAAAGGGAATGGGGAATACTAAAAAAACAAGGTGACTACAAATCTAATACACCCTTTGAGGTTACTGAGGTCAACTACTTCAATCTTTTACTTATGTATAAAATACAGCAAAATTATAAAACTACTTCCTCCAGTCCTGAATAAATCAATTTATAGAAAAAAGCGACAAAACTTATGATACCAAATTAGTATCATTAGATATACCATAAAATATTTTCATAATATGTTCATTTTTGTGTTATAAATATTTATGTTCTTTTCTATAAATTCAGTCAAAAGTAAAAAAAGTCTGACTTAAAACAACTCTAGAAATTGATTTGTTCAGGAATGGAGAGAGTAGCTTTTAAGATAAATCTATTCAGTGCCATTTCTAAACATTCAAACTCAATGTGCAAGTTTGGGACAGTTGATCACAACTACAAAACATCATTTATTTGATGCCTGAAAGAGTATATATTCAAGAGTATTCGATAATTAAGTGAACCGTAGCGTACCTGCCACAAAATCACAATCAGCCTTGCAGCCAAGTACAGCCATCACCAAAACCAGAATCAGCCGAAACAACCCTCTCTCCATGCTTCTCTTTGAAGCTACCAAATCGATCGAGCTAGAGAGGTGCAAAGAACTCTCTGCCATGGCCCCTATAGCCAACCTTTTATTTGCTCCTCTTCCTTAGCAAACTCCGCTGGATATTCTCCTCATCAGTAGCATATGGCACGTCACTAGTTTAATGTTGTCTTGTGTGTATCGATCTTCGCGTTTTTGTATTATATTTGATTGATAGTGTGTTGGAGAGAAGAGGAATTATGCTAGTATGACAGCTATATGTCTCTTTCAGTCACATAGTTTTCATCGCTTATTTCGTCTGTTGTAAGAGATGAAGAGGGCTGTAGTTCGTGTTCTCTGTTGTTTAACTGGATTAACTTTTATGGGTTGCAGCACAAGCTGCCAGATTAGAACATACAGGGAGTTTTTATTGGGTTCTGGCGTTGTTACGCATGCTAAGTTTTACTGCCCAAGTGCCAGTGACATAGTGTTAACACAAAATTATGAGGAGTGGGCCGCCCCTAAAACTGACGGTAGACAATGCTGTCAAAGATTTAGACCGACTTCAATATTTTTTGGACAGGAGAAAGGTGGGATTCTCTATTATCACAAAGACGTTATGCAATTGATCCGCTCAAGAAAGCAAACATGGAAAAGTGCAAAGCAATTTCTGCTCCCATGATGATTTAACTGAAAATTATTCACAAACCAAGGAACAGCTCTGTTAGAACAGTTCAAGTAAAGAAGCATTGTTGGTGGCTTAGAGCCTTAGATCAATGGAAAGGGAAAGAAAAAATAATTAGTGAGAAGAGAGGAGAATGAACTTATGCACATCTGTGTAAGCTGTTTTTGCATGTACGTGTATGCGCTCCTGGTCTGGCCGCGCCACCGGGTATCTCGCCCCTGAGCCGGTCGCGCCACTGGGGAGCTCTGCCCCGGAGCTGACCGCGCCACCGGGGAGCTTTGCCCCTAGGCTGGCTACGCCGCCGGGGAGCTCTGCCCCGCTCACCACGCCGTCGCCGCCATCCTCCAGGCTCCAGGTGTCGACGTCACAACCGCCCCGCTCACCGCAACCTGGAGATGGATTGGGGAGAGTAGGAGGAAGGAGATGACAAATAAGGCCCACTTGTAAGTGAGATGAAGAGGAGGAAATATTAAGGGCAGTTTTGTCCATACGATAATACTAAACTATCCGTACACCTGCACATGGGCCCAAAGACCAACCAAAACCGAAGCAGATAAAAATATGTTCAACAAAAACCAAATGATGACTCCTGCCGGCCCGAATTATCACTATAAGACAGTGTCCCACACGAAACGTCATAATAGGATACATGGCTGCAACTCAAGTGAGCTCAACTCTGGGCACACCACACAAATTCACTAGTACATAAATAAAAGACTCTATGTCTGCAGACTACAAGTAATAAATTCCAGATTCACAATTTTCATAATCACCTCATGCTTTGACTGTGCCTGCATCAAAGCAAATATCTCATGTTTAGAACAGGAAAAAAATCTCTAAAGCAAGAACTGTTTTCATGTCTCATGTTAGTTACAATAACTAGCAAAAAAAAGGATAGACAAACATAAAAGCAGGAATCAATTATCCAGGTTCATTTTGGTCAAATATATTGTCATATGAGTTAAAAACACAGAGGAACTTAATTTTTGTCATAAATGCAAATTGAATAACATGTCACATAAGGTGCTGCTTGTGGCCAGGAACAGGCTCAACACAGTTCCTTGGCTGCATATCCTCTGCCACTAAAATGTTGAGCCAAGCTTACAAACAGAACACAAATTAAGCAAAACACAATTCACAAACTTATTCCAATTGAATTGTCAGGATTTATTTAATCAACTAATATACAACTCTGGCAACAAAGTATGTACTCATATAAATAACCTTCCATAGCATCAATGTCACCAAGCCCCAGCTCCTGTATTAAGTGCATTATTAACTTGCTAAGCTCTAGACCCTAATGAACAGAAATGTAGCAACAAAATAATTCCCTAATAAACCTTAAACATCACAAGCATAGTCATCACACAGTGAACCTAACAGGGTATACACAAGTTACCTGTAACCTTCCTCAGATGCCTGCCTGCAGATGTCACTGCTGAAGATGTTGTCCGTCAAAATGAAGTTCTTCTGGGCATCAAGCTCGGCCAATCCCCGAAGCACTCCCTTGCTCACATCAATAGCAAGAACCACTTCAAACTTGTCCATATGCCTGGGTTTGATTGCAGAAAGCAAGTAAACAATATCGTCATCCATGCTTATGATGGGGCATGACATCTGAAGCTCCTTCAACATTTCTGTGGTCTTGCTGCAGCGCAGCATAGCCAACAAGTTAGAAGAACACGCGTTGCTGGCATCCAGTTGCAAGGTGACATCTTTAACATCAATTACTGAGTGACGGTGCCAGCAGTTCTCCTTCTCCCATGGTTGGGAATCAATTATGAGCCATACTTTTTCACCCCCACAAATTAGCCAACGGTACTTTTCAGCTTATCAGCCAAGCGAACAGGGTTGTCATGGTCCATGTTGTTGCATTCCATCCATCACGGAAGGCCCTGAGTTTCCTTGATTTATTGCGCACCCACTGGTGTACGAAGCAGGTGCCGTATTCAGCTCTCTTGGTGACCAGGATTCCGTCTCAATGTACTTGATAGAGTCTCAGTTTCGGCTGATGGTTACATCGCGAAAATTGTAAGGGTCGAGTTCCATGAGGAGCCGATTCCAGTTGCCCCTTGCTGGCACCGGCAGTGGGACGTCGTGGAGCACAGGGCACTCGCTGAGCACGTCGCAGAAGAAGATGCCACGCCAGAGGTCCACCCAGGCGACTGTGCCACCCTCACCGCCGATTGCGATGGTCTTCTCAGTCTCATGGTACAGCCTGTCTTCGGTAGTATTAGGTAAAGGGATTGCCTGTCCCTCACGAGATCATTCACAGACATCACCTTGGAGATCCACCCCTGAGGAATTGGAGTTGTACAGGTGGAGGTCGAAATCCCACCCAATGAGCACGCGGCGGCCATGGAACACGGGGGCCGGCCCTAACACGGAGGGCGGCGATGGCATACCAGCTGGCGCCGTCTTCGTCTTCGCGGCTAAGAAGTACAGTTGCAGAGTCGGTGAGACACCTGTAGTTCGAGTTCGGGACCAGATCTAGGCGACGGGCGCGCAGGCTGTAGACGAAGTAGTCCTAGTCCCGTCCGTGGCCGATGGCGTCGGGGTAGACGGGGACGCAAAGGAGGACGAGATCGGCGTCGGTGGTGATGACCTTGGGAGTTGCGTTGGGGAAGTCGAGGCCGGGGCAGTGGACGCAGAAGTGGGAGACAAGTGGCGGGCGCGCGGCGCGGAAGGTCACCTGGATGCGCGAGCCGGTGCTCGTGGTACCCTCAGCGGTGATGGCGTTGACGAGGTTGGCGATGTAGCACCACCTGTCGAGGAGGACCAAGCCTGAGGCTGAGGCGGCGGCGTTACCGTCGTCGGACTCGGGAAGCGGAGGCGGAATCCGGGAGGAAACAGTAGATGCAGCCGCCGTAAGCGAGGAGGACGACGAAACGAGACGAGAGGATCGCAGGCCCTGGCGGCTGTTAAACTTGGGCCGTTGTCGGGCCAC